CAGCGTGGTGCAATCAAGAATGCGTATTTGGCCAATTCTGGAATAATTAAAAATCAACGATAATAGTTGATAATTATTCCGATAGATGGCGCAAGCCATTAGCAACTTTCAGTTGCACGATAAGGAGATGCCTTTTTCTTAATTTATGCACCTTATCCCAGTACAATATTACATTTATACTATTTTTTCACTTTTATTTCATGTTAATTATATATTATTGGGAAGATATGAATATGATATACACTCAGAAATAAACCTTAAGGAAGTTTCAGATTTTGATGTCGCCTGTCCCGTCGGTTTTTTTTAAGGAGAGAGATTGAGATTGAAACTTCTTTATTAATCGTTCATATAAGATTATATAAGTTTATATACAAAATTGAATAATTATGAATACATGCTGAGAGAGAGAGGCAATTTTGTTCACACTTGGTTATATTGTGTTTCTTTACAAAATACCACTGTATATCAAATATCTTTAGAGTTTTTATCTGAATCCTGATATACAGCTAAAAAGTACAATTTCCTCGTGTTTTACCTATGAGTGTATATAAGGGAAGGAATGTTTGTATGTATGATTACTTGTTTATCCATATTTGACTTAGATATCTATATTATCTGGATAGAACTTTAGAAAACCTGTGAGGAGGTATTGGGAGTCTGTTTCTACCTCGGAATATGCTATTTACTCTTGAAAATGGATAATTAGTATATATATTAAGTGGTTATTTTGCATATTACTTCACAATATCAGATCTATTCTAACGGGTCTTTTGGCTATTATATAAATATGAATGCCGGCCAGGCAGCCTCTATCTTTACGATATATAGAACATGTTATTCAAATTGATGGAATAAAATTCTTATAATCATATTTGATTCACCGGAAGGCCTTCCTGGTAAAACCTTAATACATTACGATTGGAAGAAGTTCCTATCAAACATCCATAATATTGGTCTTCTGGCATAATAATTTGTCAACTCCCTTTGTTCGACGTACGTTCCCACAATATCTATATCGATACTTTATAAAGTGTAAAAAAAAAAATCAGAATGAAAATAAAAAATAAAGGATAGGTTTTGGTATTAAAAACAAATTATGGATATCCTGACAACCAACATTTGCGTTTTTAGATGGCATAGCCCCATCTAGTTGAACAGAAATCAACTAAACGTTATTTTAACCTGTTCCCTGATATGTGGCCAACCCATTTTCTTGATAAATCGATTAAAGCCAAACACGAACGGGTTTCGATCAGTTGGCACTCGTCAGTGTTATGTAGGCTGTACCTCTATGACAAATAATCTTTTGGTTCTTGATTTATCAAGAAAATGGTTTGATCAAATATCAGGGAAGAGGTTAAATCAACACATAGGTGATTTCTGTTCCACTAGATGGCGCTTAGCCAGATAAGAAACGTACATGTTAGTGTTCAGGATATGTCTGATTTGTTTCTACTTAATAAAGTGTGTTGTAGTTTGGGAAGAGAGAGAGATTGAGATTGAAACTGATATATTTCAAAGTACATATAAGATTATATAAGATTAAATACATAAATATGAATAAATAAGTTATATAATGATAAATATAGGAATAAATAGATATAAAGAGATAAAAATAATTGATAAATATATATATAAATATTATATTTAAATAATAAAAAAAGATTTCTGTTGTTTTGGATCATCTGGTTGATTATGCTATGGAGTTATTTGTTGGTTCTTTTCAGTACTAAATGGTATTGGTGATGCAGTCGTGGCTATAATAATAATAATAAGTCTTGATCAAAGGTTTTCTTTAATTGATCTAAGTGATATATATGAAAAACATAATTTGATTAAAGTACTGCCTGGCTTAAGGCGTAAGAATAAAAAATAAAAAGCTTATTTACATAATGTACAAAAGTTTTGGGTCGACCATCGGGGAACAACAACAATGAGTATTTATAGAGAAAGCGTGACCTCTGGCGGTCGATTTAGCAGAATATTTGTATCTATGAAATATATAATTTTAAATAAAATAATATTTTAATATAACATATATATAAAAAATATACAAGGTCTTCATTGGTGGCGCCCACTGCGGGAAAGACTCCGCCACCGGTGGACTGCGAGAGTTCTTTCCCACAGAGTGGGCAGGTCGATGTGTTGGCTGGCATTACCCAACTCAAGACCAAGATGGTACTTGTAGGTGGTAGCTTTCGCCACACTTGTTAGCTTCACTGCCTCGGGATGGAGGCCGACGCCGAAGAGCCAGGCCTGCAAATCCAGGGGCAAGTCGCAGGAGGCAGTAATAGATTTAAACCCCGTTACATTAAAAGGACACATAATATATATATATATTAATGGGATATTATTCATACTAATATATTGCTGAAATATGGATAACAAACGTCGTTTAAAATACATTTGATGGGCAATCATTAACTTGGGCATAAATCCGGGCTTAATCAGTCGTTGTCTTAGTTATTAATGAATACTTGATCTAAACTTCTTAATCAGATGCTTAGTTTTACCCATTCAGATAATATATATAAACTTTTTAACAAATAAATTTACTGGAAATGTGTTTCCTTTCAATATAATCATCAAATATTATCTCTACAGACCTCACTTTTATTTTATTTTATTTGACATATCGGACGCGATATCCCAGCTTGGGATACTTGCGCCTAAATACATTTTAGCAGCTTAAATACAATTCATTTTATATACAATTCAATAAACAAGACTCTTAAAACAAAATTGACACTGAAAGGTTGGTTTTCTCAAACAGAAAATAAAATCTAGAATGAATTTACAAAAATTAATGAATTTTACATTGATGTATTTGTTATATACAAATTCGCACATTTCTTCAATGGCATAAAAATGATTACTTCTGTAGCTGTGGAAGAATGGACCTTCTATCAATAATACAGACCTTACTGCGAAAATATAAGATATTGAATAATAGGGCTTGGCTCATTCAATAACTTATATCATTGCAGTAAGGTCTGTAATATTTGTTGATATTATTAAAAATAAACACCTTGCCAGTATATTCATTTGTTACAAAATTTATAGATAGATGTCAATTGAATTCATAAATTCAATTCAATAATATTAGTAGGACGTGAGAATGCTCTTGCAAACTCAGAACAATTTTTAACGCCTCACCAAATGCTTTATTTTTATTTACTTCTCCCAACGAAGACAACATTTTTTTTTCGAAAAAAAGTGACCGAAGTGTCTATTTTTCACAAAAATATAATATATTTGTTACACACATTTTCAGCAATATCCTATCAAACATTCTTTAGAAAATATAGAGTCCATACAGTAGATAATTACTCAAATACATTTCGTCCAAGTCGATATACAAGATTCCCCATAGTTTGTTCAAATATATTCACCAAGAATTTCACTAAAGTGTTAGAGGTTTAAAAAATATAACCAGATATAATATTCTAAAGAGACAAGGGTCGCCTCTCCCGTCAAAATAGACGTCAAAACCAGACGCCAACTATTGACCGTCGCCGCAACTAGCAGCCTCGGGTCGGTGACAAAGCCACAACACCAGCTTTGGAAAACTGAAAAGCGTCCACCTAGAGACCATGGTTTCGGGCTAATGGCCCTCGTCAGCCTAGGGCGGACTTAGATTTAGCCATAGATTTGGCCCAGCCACTTTGCCAGCTAAACACCTCTTTGCCAGATTGTCAAGATTCCATTAGATCCCGTGTGTATCTCATGGAATAAAGTCCGTCCTAGACTGACGAGGGCCATTAGCCCGAAACCATGGTCTTTAGGTGGACGCTTTTCAGTTTGCGAAAGCTGGTGTTGTGGCTTTGTCACCGACCCGAGGCCGCTAGTTGTGGCGACGGTCAATAGATGGCTTTTGGGTTTGACGTCTATTTTAAGGGCAGAGGCGACCCTTGACTCTTTAGATCAATATCCTTCCGGCAAAATTTCCATAGATATAATATTAGTGAAACGACTAAGAGAATTCAACATTGAAGTTCCAATGTCTATATGATTTCAGTAAGGGAATTACGGTTTTGCTCTGCATTGGAAAAAATTGGTACCGTTGTCACGTTAGTCACCTTGGAAACGAACCATAATTAATATAAAAAGACTCAAAACGAAACACTATAAAGAAATGACAATACATCCAGATGGCACAAGATTCTACAGGACATGCAACAACTGTCCTGGTGTGGAACTAACGCCAATCCACATATTATCATGCCCAGCAATGGCCACCGCCTTACAGAAAATTGACATGGACCCAGATTAGCAGCTTTACATACCCAAGATATGGACATTGCTGCTACTGTGATAAAGATACATGAAGACATCTGAGCTCTTCATTGAACAAGACAACAACAACCACATGGAAATTACGAGATTGCTTGACAGAACAAAATTTACTCCAGAATAGTTTTGCCTTTATAGAGACGCATAACACAATAATACAACGATTGTCATATCGTACTTAAGCATTAAGTCCTCTCAGATAGCAAGAATTGTTACGTCACGAAGACGATGGTCAGAAGAAAGAAACACGTTCCACGGAGTTAGCGTGAATTGATATAATAACTGCACAAAGGAACGTTTGAAGTAGTAGAGTGATATCTCTGATTCGCCTAAAATTCGTTCGTCCCTTCAGGCGGAATTTGAGTAAGTCCCTATAGCTTATATAACAAAATGTTCTAGGACCAAGCTGTCCAGCGTACGATATGGAATATTAACATAGTTATGTAAAATACTCAAAGCCGGTCAAATATTGTAGTTGAACATAAGAATGAAGTGTATGATTGCTGTAGTGTACTCTGAGTTATAACAGATAAAGAATTTTTCGAATAGAAATAAGTTAAGCCCCGCAAAAATGGTATAAATATTTGTAATGTGTTGTCATCTTTATATACAGTTATCAGCGTCATAATCAATTCTATCTTAATCAATTCTGTCACCGATTGCTTTTGTGAATGGAATAAATACCCAAATATGGCCATTTCTCATAACCATCGGTGGTTCAGTGGTAGAATGCTCGCTTACCACGCGAGCGGACCGGGTTCGATTCCCGGCCGATGCATTTTCTTTTTTTTTACATTTTTAAAACTCATTTATATATTCTACAAGAATGACATCCACGGCGCTAATTTATAATTGTAATGGATAGTATTTGAATAAAAGCATTCGGCTAGTAAATATATAATTATAAGAATGAATATTTAATCATTTTCAACACAAATTTGAAAAAAATATATATTCAAAATATATATTTTTATGAATATTGAGCAATCCATACGAAATTATTAATTAAAAGGCTTATTTTGAATATAAAATAAACAAACATTTTATTTAATATAAAATGCCAATATTTCAATAGGCTGTACGCCTAACTTCATCAGGGCGTTTCTTGTTTTTAAACTGCTTTGGATGATCACGCGATGCCTTCACGCGACGATATATAAAATATTTACAACTCTGGGGCTAAAATTAAAATATATACACAGAGATATCAATTATAAGAGACTATATATATGATTCATAATAAGTATAAGAAAAGAATTTTAAATCGATTTGAACTATATCCTCCAAGTTTCATCAAGAAACATATATATATAGACCCACCAACAGTCCTACAAACAATAGTGAAGAATCGAATAAATATTGTGCACTGCCATACAATTATGGTATTGAAAGAATAACAAGAATACTTAAAAATTACAATATAAAAACCCGATACAAAACCACAGCAAAACTGAAAGAAATTCTACGCCATCCCAACACTAAACTTAATAGCAATCATGAATTTAAATCAAATATAGTATATTGCATTCCATGCAAATCATGCCCAGCAACCTACATAGGAGAAACAGGTAAAACTCTTGAAGAAAGAGTAAATCAACACAAAACAGATTTTAAAAACCATAGCCCTTTATCACTTTTAGTAGATCATGCACTCAAACAGGACCATATACCAAATTTTGAAAATACAGATATTATATACAACAACATTCAGAATAAAAATTCAAGACTTTTTTTAGAAAGTTAGACCTTAATGAAAGATACCAACAGTATTAATAGAAAAATTGACATCCCTCCATTATACGTATTTACAGTTCAAATCGATATAAAATTATTTTCTTATACTTATTATGAATCATATATATAGTCTATTATTATTGATATCTGTGTGTATATATTTTAAATTTTAGCCCCAGAGTTGTAAATATTTTATATATCGTCGCGTGAAGTCATCGCGTGATCATCCAAAGCAGTTTAAAAACAAGAAACGCCCTGATGAAGTTAGGCGTACAGCCTATTGATATATTGGCATTTTATATTAAATAAAATGTTTGTTTTATTTTAGATCCAAAATATGCCTTTTAATTAATATATTTTTATATAAATAAATATAATACATCTGATATATATCAGGTAAATGGGAATAGCGACAAAAGAACTTCAAGAAAAATATATTGAAAGTAAATATTTCTGAATTGAAATGAAAATTTGCACAGTAGTAGAAAATATGATTCAGGTTTAATTTATTCAATGTAGTTTCCTTTGTAAATTATTATTGTATTTTCTCACAACGGTATTTTTCTTCTAAAATATAATTAAAGGTATTTCTACAGCCCTTATCCAGCGATGATAAAATGGAAAGAGGTAGGGTATGACTCATCAATGGTGAAGCCTTCCAGCGGTTTCGCCATTTTAATCTCCAGACCGATTTAATTTTGTATTGAACTGAGGTATTGAACATGCTATTGAAATGGTGTTTTAAACGAATTATGAACATATACTGTATTCAGTAATAAGTGCAGGGTGTATAAGACTTCAGTTCAATGCACATTACTGAAGCTGGAAATTAAAATGACGAAACCTCTGGGAATGTTCACCACTGATGAGTCATGCCATCCATATTTCAATTTTTAATCATCGCAGAAGAGGGTTGAAAAATAATTCACCGCTTAGATTTTTTTTCTGCTCACTTTTGGTAATTGTTGCACTTAATATAATATATAATATAATATAAATTATTAAGTTTATGCAAAATATTTTTCAATCTTGAAATATTATTGATATTACAATATAAACATTTTATTTTTTATTTTAATTAAAAGAGTGAATGATTTAATGTTGTTTTTCAATATTTTTTTCGCTTTACTTAAAGGAAATGCGAAATCAAGCTGAATATTATTGGGATCATTAGGATTTTTTCATCTCTTATTTTCAAAGTTATAAAATTGTTTTCTCATAAAACAATATATCCATCTAAATACATGATATTAATATATCATTTAACGTGAATCATGTTACATAAATATATATTATATGAAATAAAGATTTCTGTAAGAGAGGGTTAGTATGGCAATTCTATATATGCATGGAAAGGGAGTTAAGTTCAATTTATCCTTCGCCCTCCCATCATATCAGAGAATAATGGATTTTTGCTCGAGAAAAGTAAGGAAAAGACATATCAATTTTACGTTAGGTCACAGCGATGTTCCTTTAACTGTCTCTTTTTACCGTATTTCCTGTTAGAGCCATGAATTTATTGAGACCTTTTCAATATATTCATTTTAAATATAATACAAGAATAGAGTATATTCTATTTTTTAATTAGCAAATTTAGTTTTGAGTTACTATTGTTCATTATCGATAAAGATATTTTTATTTTTTAAAGAACAAAATACGATATTTATCGAGACTTAAAAATTCACTTTAATTGATTAGTGGGGGAGGGTGTACATTAAAATATTTTCCACAGATATGAATTTGCAGGTGTGGATCAAAATCATACTAGATGAATGAATGCGTTACTAACTATAGACATTATAAAAACAACTAAGATAATATTTTTTTTTAGAATTAAGAGACACATTTCAGCTAGTTAATTTTTTTTATTATCTCGAGATTTCGAAAAAATATTTTTTGCCCTCGCAGCAAATAATAAAATTTAAAGCATTTGGTAAGGCGTTAAAAATTATGTATAATTTTTAAATATTATTTATATAATTTTTAAACCCTTGCTAAATGCTTTAATTTTTTTTCTGACGAGGAAAAGGTTTTGTCGAAACATAAAGGGAATAAAAAACATTCACTAGTCGAAGTGTATCTTAATTCTAAGAACTATGAAGGCCGGCCAGGTAACCTTTAACTACTTGAAGGATAGTACTGTAGTTAAATCTTTCACATTATAAATGTATTCATTACAATTTTCCTAAAAATATTAATTTACATTCTAATTGATATTAATTCATAATAGGAACTTGCATATTCTTAGGAACAAATGTATATTCTAGAAAAGAAGAACGCTGATAATTACGAAGATCCTTTATGACTTTGAAAGTATTTCAGAAAACATAAGGAAAAAAAATCAAGATATCGAAGGAAAAACTAAATAAAATTATTAACGAACTAGCAGCTTACACCTATCAGTGACCTGCCCTATTCTGACTTATTCAAGATTCTAACCTTAACCTAACAAAGCTACAACGTATATATATATATAGAAAGATATGCAAATCAACATAGACAACAATGGTCGAATACAAATTATAACAGGATATAAAATCAAAGAAATACCCTAGAATATCATATTTCAACACACATTCAGAATTAGAGTTATCGATCAAGCCAAGTAAGGATATATTTTAGGGAGAATCTCTTTTTAAAAATTCTTGTCCTTTATCGGTCAAATTCGTATAACCAATGATCAAATAATTGGCTGTTAATTATTACAAACAACTAACTTTGTATTACAGTAGTTCTATCCAATGATGTCAAATATTTAGGAACTTTATGACGATCAAAAACACAACTCTACATTTATATTCATTTGTAAAAAATTGTATAATTCGTATAGTTTAATTAGAAGTTCTAATTGCGAATTGTGTTTGAACTTTTTCTTCGATCTCTAAATGTTTAAACGTGGATTCTTATGCAAATGAGTAAATTAAAGATTTAGGTGGAAAGGTATTCTAAAATTTAAGTTAAAGAAGTTTAGTTTAAACAATGCGGAGGAAAATAAAATTAGAAGTAACTTTAAATAGTGATTTTTTTAGGATAGGTAATTTTGGGTTTTAAATGTCTTAAGGGTGTATTTTCTAATTGTATTGATAAACTTTAACAAAGTTCTGACAAGTAGCGAATATAAATTAAAATATATCTACCTTCTATATTAACATAATAAAACCTTTGATATAGATTCAGTGAACTTCTATGTGAACACGGGGTTACATGGCTTTGAACATCTTGTTTCTCAATGATACATTAAAGACGTGAAATAGACTCTACCTGCTCTGTCAATATTTTTATGTCAGATTAATGTTCACAATTTTTTACAAAGTCTTTTTTTTAAGCATTTAAATATATTTAGACCAAAGAAGTTTGTACCTGTACCTATACCACAGGTTGTATTGAAAACTCGTTTACATAAATAAGTTCAGGTTATTCCATTTTATTATCCACACTTGACCTTTTTTTCCATTATATACAAACACTTGTACTTATTTTTCACACACGCACACACACTCATATGCACTTTAAAATTAAACAAAGGAATTTCATTAGACGCAAAATTTGAGTAGAAATTAGCGCATTGACATAATTTAAAATTATATTTTATGGAATCGTGCATCTGTTTAACGTATATTTATATTTCCGAACACAAAACTTATATATACTTTTATATACTTATCTATAGACAACCATCAAATTGATTTATATAAACCATATCAAAATTAGATACCATTCACTTATAATAAATATACTACTGGAAACAAATGGCTTGTGTTGCTAGAGGGCCAAAGCCGATTTCAAAATACATCTTCAGGAGAGAATAATACTCGGATTTAGCCATCTAAGCCTCAACTCTGTGAGAACAGCCTTCTATATCCTAGTGGGAATAAATGGTGTAACACACCTAGAAGTAATAGTTAAATGGAATTTAACTAAAACTAACTATTTGTGACGTTTAATAAATGAAGAAAATTTGGATGCAGAATGTCTAAATAGTTAAATGAGTCATATTTATTATGCAATCGCTTATTAAGTATAGATGTCGTTAGCTGTGCTATCTACCAAGAATAATTTTGTGTTCATTATCCTTATGATACGATAAAGAAAAAAAACTAAGGTAACAACCAACTACACCAGAATGCCTTTTCAAAGAAAGAACAGAGTATTGGCATACTTGAAATGCAAGCTTCCTAACTAGATATTATTCCATGAACTACCGTAATGTGAGCAAAAAGGTCAAAGGATAGAAGGTACAGCCACTCATGGTAGAGGTCCAAGGAGAATAAATACAGCAAGAGAAAATTTCCGAATTGTAAGAATGAAAAATAAAATTGCGATTGTACATCAGATGTCACGAGCAGAATCACATATCGGACACCGATTGGATAGTGGACACCGAGACCGAAGTCTGTACGCCAGATATTACCACATTGCATATTTCTTTAACCGACAAATATAAGCATTAATGAATTATTAGACACTATACGGTGTTCCCAATTAACCCACGTCAAACATCATGTTTGTATTTAGTAACGAGTTTCGATCTTTTTTTTTGCAAAAAAATTATCAAGGGCAATATCTCCGTCGGCGTTCTGGAGAAAGGGCCTATCCAAATGCAATTTCAGAGCACTACAGGCTTCCAACATCTAGGTTTGAAAGCAATATAAGCAGAGCAGAGTTTTATGTTATTAAGATAACATTTATTGCCCTCAAGCAACTATATATTTTTTATCACCAATGTACTATACGGTATCTTTCAAGTAGATACTACTTGTAGGAGACGCTAAAATTATAAATTTTAAATTTGAAAATAAGCAATTTTATGATTTGTTCTAATTAATTAAAAGGCTTTATTTTAAAATAATATTTTATCGTATAATTAACTTATTGCTGATTTCATCATTTATATCCTGCCTAGTGTACGTATTAGAATTATGAATAAAATGATTTTTAAAGTGAGAGCGTTGATTAAATATATGTATAATATATAAAATTAGTAATATTAACAGCTGTTAAATAACTGAATATATTTATTTGGAAAACAATAACTCTTACTCTTCTCAGAATTTTATTTATATTATATAATTTCTTAATTCATAATTCTCAATTCATTTCTTTTCATGGAAATTTCAGAAGCATTTTAAAAATAATTAAAACGGTGGAAGATTCGATTTTTTTTGTGGACCTGAGGAACAAACTTCAATACATCTTTTATAGATTGTCCTGTTTTTCAAGACAATAGAATCGACAATAATATAATAGTAACAGATTCAAGTATTTCTATTCCCAATAAAGAAATTCAATATCTTTTGTAGATATATTTTAAATTATAATACAATATATAATGCGGCTTATGATTGTAGAACGAATATTGCAATTATACAGCAAATGTTTCTTTTGAACGAAAAATAGAAATTTATTTTAAGGAGAAATAGCGATTATTTCGAACCTTAGGGATGAAGTATGATAGGATGAATTGTGAAGAGTAATGATAAACGGAAAATCTCTGGACACTTTATTTTTCCGTTTATCATTACTCTTCACAATTAATCCTATCATACTTCATCCTTAAGGTTCGAAATAATCGCTATTTCTCCTTAAAATAAATTTATATTTTTCGTTCAAAAGTAACATTTGCGGTATAATTGCAATTTTCGTTCTACAATCATGAGCCGCATTATATTGTATTATAATATACTTCATATAATATTTACGAACGGAAAAATATGTCCAGGGTAGCCTAGTGGACATGGCATCTTCCCGGTAAGGGAAGATTCGTTTCTGTGGGTTCGTTTCCCATCCATGGACACTTTATTTTTCCGTTTATCATTACTCTTCACAATTCATCCTATCATACCTCATCCCTAAGGTTCGAAAAAATCGCTATTTCTCCTTAAAATAAATTTCTATTTTTCGTTCAAAAGAAACATTTGCGGTATAATTGCATATTTTAAATTATATAGCAACAAATATCTTTTAAGAAACTGATAATTTATGTTATGCTTATTGTACATATTGCCAGACACTTCTTTTCTTTTGTACACAGGTCTTTTCTGATTTTTTTCTGTCCTTATCATTGTTAACATCATATGACTATTCTATTCACGGCCTAAAATTATTGTATATATATGTGATAATGTGTTGAGATCCTTATCTGTGATTAGGAATCCTGTCGACTATCTGTGATAATGATGTTGAGATCCAGTCGACTCTCTGTAATAATAGGTTGGTGTTTGGTAAGCCTGTTGTAGAACCTCGTCGACTCTCGCTATAAGTTGTGGCAACCGAGGGTCAAACCTGTAGTAACCGAGAGGGACAGTCAGGGGTGGAGAGTTTTCCAGTGCCTCTCTGCACCTTGTAGGACCTTTAACAGTTCTCACAAAGTACAGGCAGTCGTGGTCGAGGCAGAGTGGAAAAGCTGGGGATGTCCACACACACAAAACGAAGCGACACAGTTGAAAGAAAGTTCCTTGAATAGATAAAAAGTCGAGCCAAAAGCAAGATGGAGATCGAGAAGGTTTCTTACTGTTTTACATGGTCGATGAGTTGGTGACAATTCGTTTCTGTGGGTTCGTTTCCCATCCATGGACACTTTATTTTTCCGTTTATCATTACTCTTCACAATTCATCCTATCATACCTCATCCCTAAGGTTCGAAAAAATCGCTATTTCTCCTTAAAATAAATTTCTATTTTTCGTTCAAAAGAAACATTTGCGGTATAATTGCATATTTTAAATTATATAGCAACAAATATCTTTTAAGAAACTGATAATTTATGTTATGCTTATTGTACATATTGCCAGACACTTCTTTTCTTTTGTACACAGGTCTTTTCTGATTTTTTTCTGTCCTTATCATTGTTAACATCATATGACTATTCTATTCACGGCCTAAAATTATTGTATATATATGTGATAATGTGTTGAGATCCTTATCTGTGATTAGGAATCCTGTCGACTATCTGTGATAATGATGTTGAGATCCAGTCGACTCTCTGTAATAATAGGTTGGTGTTTGGTAAGCCTGTTGTAGAACCTCGTCGACTCTCGCTATAAGTTGTGGCAACCGAGGGTCAAACCTGTAGTAACCGCGAGGGACAGTCAGGGGTGGAGAGTTTTCCAGTGCCTCTCTGCACCTTGTAGGACCTTTAACAGTTCTCACAAAGTACAGGCAGTCGTGGTCGAGGCAGAGTGGAAAAGCTGGGGATGTCCACACACACAAAACGAAGCGACACAGTTGAAAGAAAGTTCCTTGAATAGATAAAAAGTCGAGCCAAAAGCAAGATGGAGATCGAGAAGGTTTCTTACTGTTTTACATGGTCGATGAGTTGGTGACAACCGGCGATAAGGGGTGACGCTGACCGGAACTGACTGGAACTGACTAACTCTGTTGCTAAGGCCGGTCTTATTTATACCACTTTTTGGACCAGGAAGGGGACCAGGAAGTATTGCCTTTCTGCACGTGTCCGTAAATCGACACTGGCACCAGTCTGTTGGCTTCCATCTATCTTTAGAAGTTACTTTGTGATTCTCTCTCTGGCTCTTAACTCAGCTTTTAATCTATTATATATTTTTATTTATTCATCCTCAGTACATTACATTTGGTGATGCAAGGAGACATGTCAATTATGCATATAATTAGTTATAGTTTATAATTAGTTCTATATACAACATGACAATCTTGTTATAAATTACATAATATAGGGTTATTGGTTTAAATTATCATAGATGGGCCCCGTGAGTGAAAGGGTTTATCCGGGTTTAAGCGGGTAAAGCCTCTCTAACACAGGTAAGTAATAAAAATTTCTTTTAATTAATTAAAACTGTGAGGGTAAAGGGCTATAGCAAGATGTTTATTTGGCTATATCTGAAAATTGTAAAAATAAAACTTAGGTTTAATTTAAAAGTTATGATATTCATTATAAAAGAGAACTGTAGATAAAACCTTTGTTTGCTAAAAAAATAATGATGATAACAAATGATGTTCTAAAAGATTGTTGGCGGGCGTTGGAAAGGGTTAGGGGTTGAAGAATATGCAATTGTGAGTGTTGCACAGACAATCAAATACTGAGATCCAGGTGCAAAGCGAGGATATAGACTTGTGCGTCTTCCTAGGCAATGTTTCACCTGTGATCCTGTATAAGGTTACAGTGCTTTGTCACAATTGTAGGGTTATTGGGTTGAAAGTTGTTGGAGAAAAGATTTAATATGATTGAAAGGGGTGGTAGAGCCATGCGATAAGTAGAATTGTTGTAGCGACAGTAGGTGGTCTGACTTGATTTGAAATCAAAGGTTGATTGTGGTCCGCTAGTGCTGAAAAAAAATTGAAAATTGAAAAAAGTGAACGCTTTGTGCATGCGTTGGTGATGTGCTCTGCGGATGATTGAAATAAACTTTTGAAACGTGTTCAGACCAAAAGTCGAGACTTGTACTTCTGGGGAACGGTGTTTTCAAAGAGTTTGTTGAATTACGAAATCAAAAGAAAAATTGTCAAGCAGTACTGTCGTTTCTCTACGTTGATGTGAAGCAATGGCGGAGAGAAAGATAGTAGTGTAAAGTACACTGAAGTGGTTAGAGAAATAGATTGTTGTAAACGATTGTTGTATATGCCCGATAGTTGATGATAAACAAACATTGTCATATAATAAAGTATTTAAACAAAAATATAGTGAATAAAAAGATAAAAATGTGATTGTGGATAAAAAAAAGTATAAGTGGATAAGATCAAACATGTACTATATGAAAGATTTAATAATGAATTAGTAAAATATAAAAGATATAATAATGAATTAGTAATATATAAAAGATATAATAATGAATTAAAAATATAAAAGACATAATAATGAATTAAAAATGATTATTGAAAGAATTAAATGTTTTGTCATACTAAAATAATATCATGAAAAATAAAGTTGTTAAAATAATGTTGGAATAAAAATTTGATTATATAATTGAAAAGTAAAAAAAAATAAAAATAAAAATAATTATTCAAGATTTTATACAAAAATATAATATAATTAAAGGTTATTAATGATTAGATAATATAATATAAATGTTAAGTAGTGAAAAATGGAACAAAAATTGTCTCTTCTGAAGAAAAGTTACAACTGTGGTGTGTAACTAGGTCATTTCCCTTTTGGTACATATTGGTTTTTCTATTATCTCTGAAACTGGGAATACGTGATCTGACATGTTCATGGTAATATGTTAAATTGGGTAATGATTGGTAAGTCAATTAATTATAGGTGCTGCAATCTATCCATTCTGCGAGCTGGACCACGAGTTTCAAGTACAGGCGGACTGGAACTGGAGGTGTCATTTTAACATGGCGGTTGCAATTGGTGTCGATATCAACATGTGTCATGCCCTTTGATGCCGACCGACATAGCTTGGTTGTTTATTTTCGTTGGCGGTCCTTTGTTGCCGACCCTTTGTTGCCGACTGGCACATGATCCCATGTCTGGCCTACGTCCCGAGTTGAGTTGTCTCCTCTTGCCTGTTTGAAAATATAGTCTTCTCGGTGTTCGCAAGTGTTGTGTTTCGACGATGTTGCGGACTAATTAAAAAATGTTATTCAATGATGTCAGGTTAGATGTGCGTAAAAGTGCGACTTTCCGACGTGGACACGTTTTGATGAGGTGTCACAGGCATGAAGGCGTCTTGGGCCTGTTAAGTGAGAAAATTGTTGTGGTGCGCTGTGTAACACTAGTGGGTGGATTGAATAGAAAGGTGTCACGTGAAGTCTTCGTTTTTGGTACAGCATCTAACTAGTTTCCGAATGAATAACAAATTATTAGTCATGGGTGGTTGTTGTACGAAACACATCGAGAATTTTCAGATTGTTATAGAGGTGGTATGTTTATCGTGAAATCTTTGTGTTCGCGACGATATGGAGCTCGTGTGGTTCGAAATTGGACGTGTTAAATCGCGCGTTAATAGATGTGGCCAATTGGAGAAAGTAAGGTGGGAATGTGTTGAAGTTCGTTCCGAGGGATGTGTGAATTATTAATAATTATGCATGTAAAAAGAAAAGGACGAGGGAGTGTAGCTATGCTGGAATTTTTAACTTGTTTTGGGGAAGGACAGTTACTTTTCTAGTTGTGCTTTTGAAGATAGTGTATCTTTCGATTTTTGTATTAAAAAAAAATGCGTTTCATCTATGTTTATTAAAATTTGAATATATTTTTTAAATCGTTGCTTATGTTAGTGCGAAAATTATACTTGTAAAAGGGCAATGGCATGATAGTGACTTATAATTTGAATGGGGCGTGTACATAAAATAGTGAACATAACAATGATTTTTGCAAAGTTTTGTGTATTTAAGTAAGACATTGGTGTTTTTTGGTATAAAAATAAGGTATTAAGAGAAACACACAAATAAGTTTAGAATTATGATTCGAGTAATTTAAATATAATATGATTTTTTTAAAACTGTAAGATTGCAAGTAATGAATTAAAATTTATAAGTTGCTTAAAATAAAGTAAAAATTGATAAATGATGGTGTACAAGATTTAAAATTTGGATTGAAATGCTATAAAAATGGTAAAATTTGATTTAAAAATAATTACAGTAAAAATAAACATTATATTTATGGAAAATCAAGTTGTTAGCATGAAGAGAGAGTTAAGTAGATTTTTTAAAAACTCACAGTTTTTATGATTGTTCAGTCAGGAGACTTGGTCTTTAGTTGTTGTCCTGATGACGTGGAAGGCGTCCCATGTAGAGCTTGTAGCAGCTTGTGACTTCTGTTTGGCGATGGTGGCATGTCGTCTGGATGGTTGCGTTGTAAGGCCGAAGGTGGGTAACT